GATTTTGAATTCAATTCTGGATTTAACAGGAAGCCAATGAAGGGAAGCCAAAACAGGAGAAATAGGCTCTCTCTTTCTAGTCCCTGTCAGTACTCTTGCTGCAGCATTTTGGATTAACTGAAGGCTTTACCAAATCCAAATCATAAAACTCAAGTCATTTCAGATTGGCTCCTTGAACATGTACTCAATCACTGTACTTCTGTTATTGATAAGTCACTGAGATGAGACATACCGCCATCGTTCCACACCAACACATTTGTGTTTTTATCTATATGTAGAGGTAAGAACTAATTATAAATGTGGTTATTTTGTTGCAATAAAATTTTAAATTCAAGCTGGAGGCTGTTGTGTAGAATATAAAAGATAAGATTAAGATTCAATAATAGATTTTGTATTTATTTTAACAGAACCTCTGGAGATGCTCGAAGCAGCACTTCACAACCAACTCACATCAGACAGAATAAAACAAAAACACAGCCAAAAAATCATCCAAAAATAGCGAGGAATTTCACCTAAAATATTCATCCATACAGAGTGTCCTCTTTTACAGCTCAGATCAGACAAGAATGCGCCATCACATACACCCACAGACACTTCCACTGTTGTAAAAACCCAGGAAAATTCAGCATCTAAGAAGAGCCGCTCCAGCTGACAGCTGCTGTAAACTAAGGAGACAGGATGGGGATAAAAAACAGCACCACTTTATTCTCTACTGAGATGGGAGACAGATGATGGTGATGGTACTGGTTTTCTGTTATTTTGTAATCAATATCAGTGACTTCTTCCTGCTGCTGCAGGCTGAGTCAGTCAGTCTGTCTGTGTCTGTGCGTGTGCGTGTGTGTGTGTGTGTGTGTGTGTGTAAGTGTAAAAGTGTAAAAGAGCAGGAAGTCATTCGTCGCAGTGTGACTTACTGGTAAGATGACGTCAAACACAGACCAGTGGGAATATATCACACTGTGTATGTGTGTCTGTAAATAAATAGCTGCATTTGTCTCTGACATGATGGTGCACACCGTGTCAGCATAAATCATCCTCCCCCACAACCGCTGAGCAGCAGTGGCTGTTATGTAAGTGATTGCTTCTGTGCATACAGAAGCAGGTAACATCAAGTACAAGCATGAGGCGATACTAAGAGCTGATACTAATAAAGCTGAATCTGCCATATTGCTGAAGGAGGGAAAGCTGGGACACGACAGTTAAAATGCTACAAGCAAGAACAGATGGAGAGAGGCTGCAGGAGAAAGTCGTTCACACACTGATATTGTCTCCAAGCGAATGCATAAATATGAATCACAATATTTAATGTGGCTTTAATTTGGTCTACCAACTGATGCTTTTCATCACAGGGAAAAAGTGACAGCAGCAGTTTTAAACATGAGGTTTGGATAATTAAACATAGTGGAATAATAAAAAAATAAAATAAAGAAGTATAGTACAGTACATGTTGACAAGCCTTGACCATTGCCTCAATCCATCTACTTATGCAGGCATGGATTGATTTAACCTATGTTTGTATGTTTGCACTTTATCTCCCTCCAGTGACCATCTGTGGAAATACACCAGGCTTTGGTCTGCTGAGACAGGTCAAGTGAAGGTCATTAAAGGCACACAACAATGCACCAACCCAGCCTAATCGAGTCAAGTTTTTCACAAGCAGGGACAACATCCTTAATTAGATTCACAACAATCAAGCAGATGGTGACAGAGGGAAGAAAGAACCCCTTTGAACAGGAAGAGCCATTGGCAGAAAAATGCTCAGAGTGGGGAGCAGCCATTTGTCATAGTCACTCGGGGCATGAGGATAAAGAGAAGAGGGGGAAAAGGAGCGCATAGACCACAGGTGTCAAACCCCAGGCCTCGAGGGCCGGTGTCCTGCAGGTTTTAGATGGGTCTTTTATCCAGCACAACTGATTTAAATTGCTAAATTACCTCCTCAATATGTCTTGAAGTTCTCCAGAAGCCTGATCCAGATGTGTTGACCTAGCATATCTAAAACCTGTAGGACACCAGCCCTCGAGGCCTGGAGTTCGACACCCCTGGTCTAGCGTGACCAGATGGGGTGAGGGAAATGAGAAAGGAACAGAGGGAGACAGGACAAAAGGCAAACTATAGGAGAGAGAGTCAGACTTTAATAGTTACTGATAATTAAATGCAAAATGGTGGATAAACACACAGTGTGGAAAGAGATGAGTGAAGAGGAAACACTCAGTGCATCATGGGAGCCCCCCGCCCAGCAGCCTAGGCCTATCGCAGCATAAGTGAGGGATGGTTCAGGGCACACATTATGAGAGAGAGAGGACATTTTAATTGGGTGCAGTTTTCTTGTGTAAACAACTGGGGAGTGAGAAGACGGGAGTGGAGAAGTACTCAGTGTAAGGAAGTCAGCAGCCTGAGCCAACAGCAGCATGATGCGAAGTGAAGTGATGGTTCCTGGATCCAACACAGGAAAAGAAAACCAAACCAGCAACAATGCTTGTTTGTGGATGAAAAGAAAAACAGCTACTCACCAAAAACTGTATGCATAAAGAATTATTAGTTATAAGAAGTACTACTGATCTTACAGTAGTATGTGTTCTTTGTAGGTTTCAAAATTTGATATTTTTCATATTTCTATATCTGGGAATTGTGTTTTTTATACACTTGAATGTCACTTGAAGTTATAAAAAAACAATAAAGCAAGACAGACACTTTGTCATAGCAACTCGATTTTTAATATTGTAAGATATAAAAATCTTCATCTTTATCATACAATAACATCTTACCATAAATTTTGACAAAGGAGGGAGATTTTTGCCACCAAACAAGAATTATAATATAACTTTGATTTCTTTTGAGGTAAGACAGCTGCTTCATAGATTCTTAAGCCACACAGGTCTTTCCTTCTACACATGCACAGCATCTTCTTATCCTTACGGTGTGCTTTCCATGCAAGACATTCCGCCTCACCTGTAGGCCTAGGCACTGAGCTAAAAGCAGGACCTACTCCGTGGAGAAGCTTACACTGAGACACTTTTAACTCCAGGCCTCGTATTCAGTGTCAATAAAATACCAACGAGTCAGATAATCAACAAATGGAATTCCAATATAATGAATGAAAAAAAGATAATCCACAATAAGGGCATGTCTGTGTGACATTATAACCAGTGATTTGACAGAGATTTTAACAAGTGCTTATTTCCATAAAGACAGCAGCCAGCCCTGACTTATTAAACAGAAGAAGAGACCTGTGCGGCATCAAGTCCACAGGCTGCGATGTGCTCAGCATGTCTTTCACTATTTTAAATCACTACTTTCTTTGGATAAAGAGAAAAAAACAAAACAATCGACAGCAAAAACAACCAACACAGGAAACAGTATTCAATAGGCATTATCCAAGAAACACAGTGAAAACAACTAAAAAAAAGAAAACAATGCAAATATAGAATTTTTAACATGCCACATTGTTCCTTGGGCAGGGTTTCTTTCACAGAAAGCCATCTATGTTACTAGTTTTTATAGTAATAAAAATAACAGACATCTCAAATGGTTGCCAGCAGATTGACCAAGCAGAGAAGAGGAATAGGAGCGAAACGAGAAAGCCACATCACCGGACCATGCACATGACTCTGCAGCATCCCGCGAGACAGTACAGACACACACTGCAAGTCATGCAACTGACACACACGCCCACACGCCCACACACACACACACACACGCACGCATCCGCACACACTCTCCATAAAACAAAACGCAAGCATAGATTGACACTAACCAAAACATCAGCAACTGACATTTTCTAGAATGCACATATTCTGGCTGTACCAAAGCCAAAGAGGCATTTATGGCAGAAATGTTTTAATATTCATATCAATAACGTTCTCTGAGAAACATTTAACAGCAGTTTGGACAGTACTGTGGTTTTGTGCTGTCGGCACAGGTTGAATTGGCAGCACAACCGCTAATACGAAGCTCAAAAACCCTACAAAAAGAACGGACAGACGGCAAAAAAACCAAAAAAAACAGGCAGATGGACAGGCGTGCAGCGAGAATGACAACTAATTACAGCAAAGATGAGAAGAGAAAACTTTCATTGTCACTATCAAAAACAGGGCTGCATCGACTCTGTAGCGGGTCATGCTCAAACACGCTCACACACTCGCACAAACACCCACACGGCGCCAACGCATCTGCCAAAAAACCTGCACCCATTTTTATGGTGTATTTTCCCTCTGGTGAGGTAACTGCCATCAAAGAGTGTATTGGTGCGTGGCGTATGTTCAATTTTTTTACATTTTTTTGTATTTTTTTTTCGCCCTCATTGCCCCTATCCATCGTCATGATATTTTGATAGGCAAAAGGAGATCGGCTAACAGCTGCAGCTGGCGAGCCCACACAAGGAGGAAGATAGCTAGAGCGGGACAACTGATGTCACAAGATGGGGGCAGGACCACAGTCAGTGTTCCTTGGCTGGTATTGGCGGGTCGACACCAAGTCCCCGAGCAAGCTGACAGGGTGGTTTGGAGCCAGGAGGTGTGGTTTTGATCAGACTCCTGTGACCTGATTGGCTGTTCAGAGTCTCTACAGAGAGGTGGAGGGAAGTTTCTTGACACGCCTCTGAGCAAGGAAGGAGCTCTCAATGGGCTTGAGCTCTGGAGTAGGTTGTGAGTTCTTCAGGGCGGAGTAAGTGGCTGCCATTGCACCCTGTGCATAAAAAGCAACATCATGATTGAAGGCCAGATGACAGTATGAATTACTGATATGTTGTCTGATTTACTGCAATGCAAAAAACCCGCTCGTCTTGTGTTTTCTAATCGACAATGCAACACACGATGCAAGTATACTGCAGTGCACAATCATATTGGTATTTTGGCAACACTAAAAGCAACTGATATGATATAAAATCATTCTACATGTTGAGTTTCAACTACTAAAACTTCAATGAATCACTGAATTCCTTTAACCTGATTCCAGGTGAGAAAAAAAAAAAATATATATATATATATTCAGTTTTGTTACCTTGACCAGCTTGGGGTCCTGGTGTGGGAGCTGGCTGTTGGGCAGCTTGTCTCTGCGGACAATCCATGGGTGTTTGAGAACCTGCTTAGCAGTCAGTCTCTGATGGGGGTCAACGTGAAGCATCTTGGACACCAGGTCCTACAAAAAGACAAATAATAATATTATGGAAAACTTGTAGGTTGACGCAAATACAACAAAAAATTCTTTCTAGGGAGTAAAAGAGTTGTCTAACAAATATTGACTCCTACCTTGGCGGCATCAGACACAGAGTCCCAGTTACCACCAGTCAGACTGAAGTGGCCGTGGCCTATCCTGTTCAGGATTTCATTTGGAGTGTCTTCAGGTCCGTTGGCAAATGGAGTGAAACTGGTGAGAACAAAAGTAGACAGACGATAAGGTTAATGCAAAGAATAATGAGAGAGAACAAAGTTCAAAGAATGATTTCAAGTGTTGCTACTAACCCAGCCAGCATGGTGTACAGCAAAACCCCGAGACTCCAGATGTCACATCCCTCATCATAGCCCTGACGCTTCAGCACCTATAGCAGAGTCAGAAGGAATCACATATTACTATATATCACAATGACTGGGGGAACCTTGACCTTTGTGAGTATGTCTTGCGAGCGCACTCGTCACCTGCTCACCTCAGGAGCTACAAAGTTAGCAGTATAGCACGGGGTCATTAGCAGGCCATTGTTGGCACGCAGTTGCTTAGCGAAGCCAAAGTCACAGATTCTGATTGACTCGGGATTCCCCGACTCGTCGACATAGAGGATGTTGCTGGGCTTCAGGTCTCTGTGCACTACCTGAAACGCAAGAGGGTAAGAGTGGAAGGGAGGAAGAAAATTAGGATTGAAAAAAAAAAAAAAAGGAAGTGGCAGTAAACACTCTCTTCCACCACTTGGGTGGAATTCTTTCCCATTTTTATCTGCTTTAAAAATGTCTTCTATAAATTATTTTCAATTTTATTCAATTCAATTCAGTTTTATTTATATAAACACCAACAACAATCGCCTCAAGGTGTTTTGTATTGTAAGATAAAGACCCTAAAATAATACAGAGAAAATCCAACAATCAGCCAAAAGAGTGTGACACAACATGGGAAACTTTTCTGTCTTTAGGCTGTGGCGATAACCCCGTGAGGATTGCGATTGAGTTAAGGTTTCTTGTAACCCTAATCAGAAGTTTAATTATTTACAGAGGTGCTTCAAGTGAGTATTCCCCTATGTGTTGTTACTAAACCAAAATAATTAAAAGGATGAACACAGTTAAAGCTAAAAATTCATAAAAAGTAAACAAAAGTAGACATGTGTTGTAAGTTTTTAAACATCAGGAAACATAAAAAAGTAAAAAGAAAAAGAAAAGTAAAGACTTTAGCCTGGTTTTCAAAGGCACTACTATTCAACAGTTTTCTTATAAAAGCAAAATAAACATTAAATAAATAAACTCTAATAGCACCTTAACTAATATTTCTAAAAAATGGAGCTATTTCACAGCAGTTATTTTGATAAAACGCTATTGCTAAAATACAGCTCCAGAAAATAATTAAAAAAAAAACCCCATTGTGTGCTTCACAGGTTTGCCATTTCAGAATAAAAGAACAGGTTCAATAGATGCCATTTGACCTAAAAAAAAAATAAAAAAAATCACATGACAGGGTGGTGCTAGGTTTCACAGCAGGTTCACCCGAAACCTTGGCTGATTGTGACCTACACCCATTTTCACACCTTGGCTCGTGCGATTAGGTAGATCAACAAGGGGGTTCATGACCCTCTTCGGGGGACAGTCCCCTAGGACTTCAATCTGGGACTCTCCACCATTTGACCTTAGAACTGAGAAGCTTCTCAGGTGAGAGGTGAAATGTCTTCAAGAAACTCAAAGAAGTCCAAAAGGCTTTTCTTTTCAAGCTCCTTAGACAAAACATACATATAAAACAGGACTAAAAGTTCTAGTGGTCTTAGTGGTCCTCACCCCTTGTGAGTGGAGGTACTCAGCAGTCTTGGTGATAGTGTGCAGCACAGCGCTGGCCTCTCTCTCCGAAAAGAACTTCTGCTTGAGGATCCGATCCAGCAGCTCTCCTCCACGCATCAGCTCCGTCACCATGAACACCTGCTTACCGTTGTCGTACACCTGCGACAGAAAGACAAACAAACATCAGCGAGTCTTATTACACTCAACACCCAAGGCGAACAAAAGTTGTCAGACAGAGTGCGTGTTTAGACCCACATCCTTGAGTGTTATGATGTTAGGGTGCTGTCCATATCGAAGCAGAATCTCTATTTCCTCAGAGGGGTCTGTGCTTGTCTTGTCAATCATCTGGAAATCAAAAGCACAACAACGGCATTAAGATCATGGTTTTGAAAGGCTACATATGTTCCTCCTTCTTTTACTGAAGCACTACTGAAAAACATATTTGTTAGATTTTGCTGTCCTGTATCCACAAGCTAACTTTTCCCTGTGTGTGTGTTTGTGTTCATACCTTGACAGCGTATTCAGTGTTGGTGGCTTTGTGGATACAACGTTTACAGACGGAGAAAGAGCCCATCCCTATATCTTCCTTCAGTACGTAGCCATCGCTGAAAAGCACGTTTTTCCCGTGTAGTTGCTGCAGAGGAAGATTTGAAATTGTGATGAGCGTTGGAGGAGTGACGGACTGACAAGAGCTGATGTGGGGGGAGGTTGATGATGTTGGGGAAGGGAATGCAATCTATTTCTGGAGTCAATTTCTTCCTCTTTGTCAAAGTGTCTCTTCAAATCTACCACACACGCAGTAGAAAAACTGCTTTTGCCAGGCATTACACAAGATTTGAAGCCGTGTACCTCACTTGAGTCGTTTCTTTCTAATCTTGTTCCTGTCTGCCTTTCGCACACCGTACACACAGAATCTGTCTCTATTTCATGCCATCAGCAGTCAGAACTCGACAAAAATATAACACACTGAAATACCTTTGTCCACACCTTTAGATTACAGTACATGGGCATATTCACCGACCACTTCATCAGGTACTAATTACTAGGCTCACTTCCCTTTTACTTTCAGAAAAGCTTTAGTTCTTTATAGCATAGAATCAACAAGGAACTGAAAACATTCATCAGCGGTTTTAGTTTATAGTGACATGAAAGCATCTCACAGCTGCTGCGCGTTTTCCAGCTGCACACCCATGTTGCAAATTTTCGAGTGCACAGATGCTCTATTGGATTGAGATCTGATGACAGTGGAGGCCATTTGAGTACAAAGAACTCACTGTCATGTTCAGAAAACCAGTTTGAGATGATTTGAGCTTTGTGATGTGGTCTGTTTTCCTGCTGGAAACAACCACCAGAAGATGGATACAATGTGAGAATAACTAAGGGGCCTGAAGTCTGCCAAACCCTACTATTTGAATTCACACTCATCACACCAGCCAATGTTATTATAATCTTCCATTGTTCAGTTTTAGTGTGTCGAGTTACTGTTGATCATGTTGCGGGCAGCACAGTGTGTGGTGGTTGGCACGGCTGCCTCACCACCATCTAGCCGGGGAATTTCTGTGTGGTGTTTGCAATTTCTTCCCATGTCATGTGTTTGTTCTTTCCAGGTACTCCGACTTCCTCCCAGGGTCCAAAGACATGCACTTAGTTGACTGGACACTGTAAATGACCAGTTAACCTAACTTCCTCCCATCACCTCCAACCAGTCGCAGCAGATGGCTGCCCCTCCCTGAGCCCGGTTCTGTTGGAGGCTTCTTCCTGTTAGAAGGGAGTTTTTTTTCCCTCCCACTGTCACCAAAGACATCATAGGGACAGTTTCTCGGTTTTCTTTGTGTCCTGCCAGAACAGGCTCCAGTATTTATCTATCCCAAGAGTGAATAGCTACTGACCTGAACCACTGGATGCGGTGGGGCCTGCACTGGCTCTGATGAACCATCCTCCTCTAACAGAGTTGATGCAACAAAGCTGAAGCCTCTGAAGAGCTGGTGAGCTCCAGCACTGGGGGGTACACCAGGGGAGTCTGCAGGATAATAAATAAAAATAAAGGCTTCGGAAAAACAGACAGGTTTATTGCAGTAATGTTAGAAAACAAAAAAGGCACTGCTATAAAAACTTCACATTGAGGTATTATTGACAAGCACAGCTAATCACAAATGTGTTAGTTCATCCCAATGTTGCTGTGTCTCCTTTAAATAAAAAAATGTGTATTGATTTTTGATTTCCGACCTTTAGGTGTGCGGGAGGTGAACTCGGAGTCGAAGTAGAAAGTGTCATCCGGACGTGCGACCGCCGGTCTGAACGGAGGCTTTGCTTCTTTTCGGAAGAGTTTCTAAAAAGGAACAAAGAAGCTTAACTCACGCTGTGCAGTTGAAGTTCTGAATGCCACCTGTGATGGTTGCTATAAATTCAAAAACATATGTAATCACACAGAACTCACATTCCAGTCTATGGTGGAGAAGAAACCGTGCCGCTTAATCTCCTCAGCGCCATCGGCATTAGATCCTGCAAAACATCAAACAGAATCAATCACAATAGAAAACTACAAGCCAACATAAAGCACAGCCTTTCCCTGTGAAATCAGATAGAGTGTGTACCGTCATTTGTCAAAGTCATGTTCCAGAGCTGATACTAACCCAGTCTGTTGGCAGGGTTCCTTTTGAACAAAGCCCTGAGCAAAGATTGGGCCTCTGCACTCAGGAACTGAGGCATTCCAAGACGAGCCCTGCACAAACACACAAAGAGGGCTTCCAGCTTTAATTATTGCACCGGATATAGAATGAGGCAGTTGGAATATGTTGGAATAAGTTCATTTGGCAACAGGTTTTTGTGTTGAATTGAGTTTTTTCCATGTTCTCCATGTGCCTGCAAATTTACTCTCCAGGTTAGTTCCTAAGCTGAGAGCCTGTTTAGGACGTCATACCCCACCTGACCGCCTATGCAGGTCGGGCATGGACAATCTGGGAAAACAACTGAATTAAAATAAGTTGGTAAAAGGGATTCCTGAGCGAGGGAGAAAAAAACCCAAACTTTTTTCAGCCTATAAATGGGGGTCGTGCCAGAAAACGTTTGAGAGCAACTTAGCTGGTAATTGTAAATTGACTTCAGATGTAGTTGTGAATGCGCCTGCTCAGCTGTCTAACTGTGTTAGCCCTGTAATTTACCGGCTTCCTGTCCAAGGTGTAGCCCACATCTCTCGCCCAAAGTGAGGTGGGATAGGCTCTAGTCCACTCACACGCTTTTGCTGATGGATATGAGTAAGTAGTTAAAAGAAAAACAATGAATGGATGTTCTTGAATCCAGGTGGTACTCACTTCAGAATGAGATTCATGGTTTCTTTGCGGTCCTTCCCTTGAAATGGCAACGCCCCCGTCAGCATCTCAAACTGGGAGAGAAAACACAAAAAATGTAATCGGCATACTTATTTACGTAATATTTACGCTCAGCCAGGACGTTTTTTCCTTCTTACCATTAGTACCCCGAACGACCACCAGTCGGCGCTGTGGGTGTGTCCCTGCCTGTTCACGACCTCTGGTGCCATGTACTCCACAGTACCACAGAAGGAATAAGCTTTCTTCTCATGATCAATGGCTTCTTTACACAGGCCGAAATCTGAAAACACACAAGACATTAACCAAGGACCCGGATCATACACATTATATAGCAGCACGATAACAGCTACAAAAAGCTTTAACATGAAACAGTTTTCCCACAAGCGCTCCGTTAAGGCGACTTCTTAATTATCATTAGTTTCCTCTGGTTGAGGATAAGAGATTCTAAAGAGGTTTATCACAGATACTCAAGATAAAGTATTATAATTAACTTGGGGAACATATACAGGATGTTATGGAGATATAAGTCAGTGAGATAAAGCCATCACTGCTGTGAATCAAGGTCAATGTGGTAGAGGAAAGGAAAGTGTGTGTGCAAAATGAATAGTGAGAGGTAGATGTAAAAGAAGAAACAAGGAGGCTCACCTGTGAGTTTGATGTGTCCCTCCTCATCCAGAAGAATGCTAGGAGAAAACAATGTCACATATAAGACAAACTAAAATCTTACAGGGTCTGAACATTTTACCCATCTGGATTGTACAAAGTAAACTTTTCTTTGCTGTATGTTTTGCTCAGTTGTAGTATGTCTTGGTGTCAAAGTACACTCGGCTGCCGGATCATTAGGTACCCTTAAAAGCAACTGAAGTCTAATATAGCAGTCCGTACGTGGTGGTCCAAGTTATAAAAACATGTTTCAGTTTCAATACAACATGTTCGCATTCAAAAGCACCAAAATTTAAAAAAGCAACACATAAATGAATCACCGGCTCTTTAAATTAGCGGCGGTGTCGGGTCTTACATGCATACTATGAGATCGAGTGCTGTGCACAGCACACGCTGAGGAACAAACATCGACAGCTGGTGGCAGCAATGTACCATAACAAGTACCGATGTGCCAATTACAGCAGAGAGTCAGGGAACACAAGCTAATGAAAATGGTGCAGGGTTCAACAAGTAAAAAATGCTTTGCAGTGAGTGCAATAGAAATATGACAGGAGGAAATTGTTGCACTTTGAAGTCATCACTGCTGTCTGGGGTTGTGGCTACAGGTCTGCAGCAGGGAAGACACTTTTCCCACACTCACTGAAATGCATGCAGTTCTTCTGGATTAATCTAACTTGGAGACGTTTATGACTGATGCACTGTGTGGATATTTTTATATATATTTGTCATTATGCATTTCCTGCAGCATGGCATGCAAAACGCTTTTTCCACTCTTACTTTTCAGGTTTGAGGTCCCTGTAAATGATACCCAAGCTATGAAGGTGGTCCAGTCCTAATGCCAGTTCTGCTAGGTAAAACTTCACATCCTCTTCTGTGAACATCACCTGAGGGGTAAAGGAGACAAAGAAGAGAGAGGATGTGACACACAGAGAAAAGGAAAATGAGACAATAAGAGAGCATAACACCGCAGAGTGACACAATGCAGAATAAATGGGCAACCACATATCAGTTTATAGGATAAATAAGTGGACATAGGACTGAGAAAAAGAAATCCTGACCTCAAGTCAGCATAACAACACTAAGTAGTCACTTCTTTTTTTTTTTTTTTTACCTCTTTGGAGAGTCTAGTAAAAAGATCCCCTCCTCTGAGAAAGTCCAGGATCAAGTACAGCTTCCCTTCAGTCTGGAATGCTACAGATGCACAAATTCACATTTAGTTCAACTGTAAATCAGGAAGCATGAGTTAAGCTTCTGGAAGTTGAAGTAATAAAACAGTAAATCAAGTCAGTACATCAAATAACATTAATAAGAGGGAAGGGAAGCAGAGTCTAACAAAAGCATCAGGCTGACTCACCATAGTGCAGTTTGACAACAAATGGGTGATTGACGTCTGCCAGAATGTCTCGCTCCATCTTGGTCCTCACACGGTCTCTGACTGAAGGCCAATGATTGAGGGTTAGTGTGATAGTATGCATTAAAGATTTATAACGTGTCTGTACATAAGCACAGAGTATGGTAAAAGTACTACAACACACTAAATGCTGGTGCTGATGAGAGTACAATTCAACTTGGACTCATTAAGCTGCAATAGGAGAGGATCCTCAAATTAAAGCATAGCCAAACTTAAATAATGGGGTCAGTGCTGAATGTTAATGATGACCTAAATTTGGGGATTTTGTCCATGCAACTGCGACTCTGAGCACAGTAGATTAACTCAGCTGCTGCTTAAAAACTTCACCATGGGCAGCCGATCAGAAAAAAGCTAACTTCAAGCAAAAGGGGAGGAATGTAAAATAGCGAATTTCAGACAGAGGGTGACCTTAGGAGCTGCACCCAAAATAAGGCGAATTATGATGAATTTGACCTGTTAGTCATGAAAAGCTGTTAAAGAATAAAAACATGGAGATTTAATTAAATTTGCAAAGCTGCACAGAACCACCCACGTAATTTTGGGAGACAATGAGAAGAAATCTGATGCCCCGATGTTTGCAGAAGGTGAGACCACAACACCTGTTCATAGGAACCCACTGAAAGCAGTGGTGGTCTTACTATGCACACATACCACTGCATGTGCTACAGGAAATTCATACACCCTTTTATATGAAACTGAACTACTTGAAAAATGAAGTTGCCAAACACGAAGCCTTTTCAAATCAACATTACCGGAAAGGTGAAAGGTGCAGCTCTACAAAAAAAACAACAACAACTCTCTTTTCTTTGTTTTTTTCCCCGTCAATGAAGCCAAAAGCCAAAACAGAGAAAAGCAGCAATTCTTAAAATTTCACGACCACAGCCAAGCCCGACGTTGTTGTACCTTTTAGTGTGGCCTTCTTGAGGACCTTCATGGCATAGAGCTGGTTGGCATCGGGAGGAGTCACCTTTCGTACCAGGAACACCTGCAAAATAAATTAAATAAACCAAAAACACTGTTAAAGATGCAACGATTTTTGTAGGTTGGGGAGTAAGAGTAGCAAAGGAGGAAGAGAAAAATAGACATGTAGTCAAAATAGAAAGAAACCGAAAGAGTAAAAGCAAATTACCTTGCCAAAGGATCCCTGTCCCAGGACTTTGAGCAGTTCAAACTGAGAGGCATCAGCTTTCTCTGAGCCCTCCTTGACCACATGGGTGATGTTGATCTCTTTGATGTCTCCATCTTCCTAAAGAGTGAAAAGAAAACAGACAGAGGGAAAGCAGTCAATGATCACAGAACGACGGCAATACTGCACAGCTGCAAAAAAAAATTTCACAAGTTGCTTGCTTATGCAAAGATAAGTTCTCCTGTGGAGGTGCCTCCTGCTGTAAATAGCACCACGTCTATATCAAACATTTCAAAAAAAGAGGAAGCATGGTAAGAAGTGAGATGTGCACGTGAGCACAAACAGTTGCTTATCGATGCATTTATGTGCTTTTAGCGTACGGGAACTGGTGGTGTAAATATTCAGTGGAAGTAGATCTGTGTAAGAGCAAGTTCACAGCAAGCGCACTCTCACAACTGGGTGGATCCCAGCTGACACCGCTCACAGCTCCACCACATGAACACGCGCAGCTGACCTGGTGTCAGCCTCACCCAAAACTCAACAACAACAACAACGATGCAGAGAAGAGCAATTCTCTTTCAAGAGTGTTCCCCTCCCTTGATAATCTTCCTTGAATTTCACACCTCGGGCCCTGTAATGAAGCAAAGTACAGTAGGTACCCTGCTGGGAGAATTTTAGATTCACCAGTGCAGTTTCTTCTGCCTATGAAATCCAAATCTCAGGGATCAGAAAGTAGAACATCTGGGCTGTCCTGCTCCCAATTTCTCCTTTATACCATGTTCAGGTTTACACTATTACTATGGATTCTGAATAAAGTTACACTTGGCAATTACAAGTTATTTAAAAAACAACCAAAAAAAAATAAGGCGCAATCAGCTGACTGTCGCATAATCAATATTTCAAAGAAGTGATGAAAGACATATTTTCAGCAGTCTCTTCTTTCAGCTTTTTAAAAGTTTCTACACAACAACAGCCACCGCCATCACCACAGACCACTGCAGCCCGGGACTTTATTTGACAACAGGAAACCAGAGTTGGCTGAACACAGCAGGGTTTCAGTTGCACCTTGTTTTCTGAACAACCGCGACAAGAGCGAATACAAAACCTCGTTTGCACTTTGCTGTGCTGATGAATCCCTCTTTTCTCCTCATTTTCTCAAAACTCAGTTTCATTAAGACGACGCCACTGAACGCTCTGTCGACGACTTAACTACTCAAAGCTGATTGAGATGTCACTTTACCGTCCAGTGGTTCCGCGGCGGAGGTAAAGTGCCAGTGTCGTTGTCCGTTGCCGCCGTGGGTCTGTAGGTGTTACAGTGAGCAGGGCTGCCAGTCAAGGATTTGTTCTTTTTGAACAGGTAGATGGACAGCATGCGAGTCAGGTTGAACTTTCTCTTGTCCTTCTCCATCTCAGCATTTCCCAGAGTGTTGTATCATCCTACCTTCATCCATAACAAGGTACACACTCTTCTACCTCTCATATAATCATCTCAAATCTCACCTCATCTCACCGAGAGCACACTTTAGGATCGTTTGTGCTTTCATGTTAGGATTCGTTGTGTGGACTGCAGATAAATATTGAAAAGTCTCTCAGCCTCTGCTCTTTAGTCGACTGCAGAGGCCTTCTGCTACATTTCCTTCAGTGCTTCATCTTCATGTTCTCTTCCATTCTATCTCCGGTCCTTGCTCTCTCCCTGCCTCTGTGTCTGTCTGATTAGACCGGTGTGCCTTCGGTGAATGACTGCAGCTGAAATGAACTGGAACCGAAGTGAGCAGGAAGGAAGAGCCTGCTATATTCTCACAGTCCTGCACCCAACTTCTTGTCACACTCTCTCTCTCTCTCTCTCTCTCACACACACACACACACATGTGTGCGGCTGAAAGAGAGCGAGATGTGAGACAGAGAGAGAGAGAGCAAGCGAGCAACAGGAGTACACTGAAACTCAAAAGAAGCACAAAAAAGAGATAGAGATGGAGAAAAAGTAAAAAGAAAATGCCAATTAAATGCTTTCCTGAATAAATTTGCTTGCATTATCAGTAATTTTACAGACTCAAGAACCCAACTCTGTGCCACTTCCCTTTACCCATAATTCAACACAGAGGCCAGCGTGGAGGAGGATGGCAGAGAGAGGATGATGTATCCCCTCTCGGTGTCAACACACCAGAGAGGATTCAGACAACTCACTGCCTCTGGATGACAGAGATTTTCCTGTCTGTGGCCAGGCATGTTCCTCTCTTCCCCCTCTTAACAGTCCTGTTCCTGCTCATCCTGTCTCCTAACACAGCTCTCGCTGCTCGTAAAGTGGTCTTGAGATCCTCCTACTTTCCTCCATTGCTCACTTTATTGCCGTTTATACGGCAAATACTTCTTTAACCTGAGAGAATAAGCCCTCCCGCGCCTGTTTATAGAGCATGAGTCAACTCCTCTTGACCAAAGAGCAGCGTTACTTGGCTGGCAGCAAACCTGCACTGCAGCCTGTGCTCAGAAAAGGTTATTTGCTTAACAATTTTGTGATGGGAGAGTACATTTTCCAGAGGGTGGGGAGACGAGAAAAAAAAAGAAAAAGGAAATACAATCTGACATGGATGAAGCAGGATGCAGATGTAATGTTTGTTTAGCGAGGGAGGAGCTGCAGAATGAATTGATTTAAAAGCAACAGTACACAGGTGGTGAGAGCTTACCTGGGCTCTAATAGTGGCATAGTCCCTCTCTATCCAGGTGATATGAGACTCGTTCTAGGAAGCGTTTGAATGGAGCAGTTAACATGAGTTACGTAAAACATGACGGGTTTTGCAACAGGTACATTTGTACCTCTTCATACAGGCTTGCTGCAGATACACCTCATTAACACACAATCACACACACACACACACACAGTGAGAAGAGGGTAGAATAGGGCCACATTAGTGACAGGAAACTTCTCTTCCCTCCTACTTCTCACTTCCTCTTTTCTTGAACTGATCTCACATCCTTCCTGCTCGATAACTAGATAACCAACTACACAGGAGAGCTGAGTTTACAAGCACGACAGCTGTTGCAGAGAAGAAGCTGAAATTCAGCGTTATGACTAACTATTTATAAAGGTTCTCGTGTTATCCGGAATCTAGAGGACTCAGGAACAGCTGTCTTTTGAAATGAAGTCACATGGTGTGTGGGAGATTAAAAAAATGAAAAAGAAAAAGAGTATTCACACTTCATGGCCTCACACATATTTTTTGTGGTTTTGCAGATCAGTTTCAGTTTGACTACATTAATACCATGACTTGGCCAAAACGCAAAGATGGAAAAACAGAGCATCTAACTTTTAAATTTGCTACACCGGTTGAGTGAAAAGGTAGAATCTTCAGTGAAGCAGCATTAAAAATAACATTTTTTATGATTTTTGAGGTTGGAGGAGGTGGAAGATCCTCCATCCACATCCTCCTTTGTTTCCCGTCATTTCACAGCTGGGAAGATGAAAACTCTCACATCCACCCTCACAGAGGAAACCCCTTCATCCCTCCCAAAATATCATACAACACACACACACTCGCACACATGCACACACACACACACACACACACACACACACGCCAAGCACTCCCTAAAGCTTTCGGCAAGTCCCCAGCACATTCTTCACCCGACCACATTCACACGCAGCTGCACACTTCATAACAAGCGGAGGTTCATAACACACACACATGAAATAAAAGCATCTACTTGCCACTGGCATGCGGGTTTTGGTGCGGAATAAGAACCTCCACATGTCTGTGTCCAGATACTTCCATGTCACTGATGCTGTCACTGGGTGTCAGTGAACCTCTGTGACAGTCACACTTAGACACTTGCTTCTATGTCAGCTTGTGTCAGTTAGCCAACAACTCTGTATGCAATACCGCAACAGATACAACCTTCCTGTATGCTAAGCAAAATGGGAAGTAAAGTTATAAAAAAAATGCATATGAGCAGGGGACCGATTAGCTGTGGACAGCGTAGAAGGAAAAGGCTCAACTCAAGCAGGAAATAGTTCTTTCTCAATTGGAAAATGAATCAGAAGTCTATACAAGAGCTTCAAGGACAAGTTTACGGAGACAATGAGAAGAACTTGAATCTTTTGTGTCATTTTTCTTCAGTTTGAGATTCAAGATAGCAATCATGCGAGGTTTTCAATTTCCGTTGACACATCATCTGACTAAAAGTCTAACAAAGCCTGAAAAAGTAAAAGTTTAACAATAAGAGAATCCTACAGTCATGATAATCTTCTGTCGAATCAAAGCTTAAACGAGCTAACACAAATGCTTCTCTGAGTCCGCTTATGCAACATTTGATCACCTTTTCAGACTGCTAGAGAACAGATGCGTCAACTGTGAGACAGATATGGTGTAATGCCCTTTGATTAACACAAGGGGCCAGTGCAGGTCTGCAGCCAGTCCACTGGTAGGTGTTCCAAAGAAGGATGTCATAAGATAGGAGCTTTAGCCAAGTAAGGGCATGCTCACATTGTTAGCTCATGCCTCATCCAAATCCCAGTGTTGGCGCTGACACCAATTACAGTAAGGGAGACAAAGTGGGACAGAAAGGGAGCATGTGGGAGGTGATAGGCTGGAGTGCTGTCCAAACACTGTCCATTCACAGCAGCAGAGGTCACACGAGTTTAAACCCTACAACAGTCACGTCTTGCGTCAAAGCAATGCACCAAAGCTCGAAATGATGGCAAAGTTTAGAGGAGAGAATCATTACAAAAAAATAAGACAAGAGGAAGAGACAAGAGGAAAAGAGAAGTCAGTGGTCAAATGGTGCATGAGCCTGGAAGAAGGAGTTAATTTAGGCTGTTGCTCTCCTAGTGTTTGTGTCTTGCACTGTAGCTTCTCCTCCTTCCTGGAAAATGAAGCGCAAGCACCTGTACGTTTTCAACTGCAAGACAGCTCCGACTGCTCGGACAGAGGATGACGAGTGAAAGCAGGAAGGTCCAGAGAGGGAGACGGAGCAGTCTAAACATTCATCTGTAAAAACAAATACCCACACTAGACTTTGCCTGCAAGAGCAAACACACTCAGAGGGGTAAAAAAAAAAAAACCACACTGCAGCGGTACCCTCACAATGACGAAAGAGTCTGAGATTATATAAGAACTGAAGACAAA